AAGGTACAGAATAATACAGATGAGATTAGAAATGGAAAAAGTGATATTGGAAAGGTTGAGATATTATGAAGACTATTGTTGGGGAAGAATATATATTGGGGCGGTCATGTTTTTCTTGTTATTTTTCCAACATAATTATATAGTTTATAGTAGTGATGTATTTGTACTACTTTTTGAATATTTTTTTATATTTGCCTAGGGTCTTTTGACGTGTTTTTCAATATTAACATACTAGTACTAATTGATGGTGCTACTGTCTTTTGAAGTTGTAGATGGTACATATTTTCAAAGGAAATATATGGGGAGATGGGAATTGTGGCCCTTTGGGTGTGGTGGGTCAACCCGTGAGATTACGAAAGGTTAATTAAATACTCCTCTATATTACGAAACTTTATTAAATAATAAAATAATTCGAACTAATCCCGAAACGCATCATTTTATGTTTGAAAGTAAACTTTAATAGGAAGGAATATTTGTAAGGTAATTAACAAGGGGGATTTTCGATCGGTAGTTCCACTAGCATGTAGTTAAACATAGAATGTAGTATCAATGTATTGATAATATTTCAAATATGTTTTAATATATATTAATATATCAATAGGGAGAAAATAAAATGCAGTTTTATCGTCTTTAATAACACATTTATGTTGGCAAGATAAATTATAATTCTTTTATATTTTGTTTTGTAACGATAAATTATAACTCATCTAAATTCATCAATTAATATATATTAAGACGAAATTCATTGCGACGGAAAAAAAATTCGTTGTCATTTTTTTTATTTAAAATGACGCTTACGAGTAATTCGTCATTATATAACGAATTTTTTTATATAACGATAAATTATAACTCATCTAAATTCATCACATTAATACATCTCATGACGAAATTCATGGGGAAAAAAAGGTTTTTTAGTCCCTTAATTGACCCCCCTTTTTTGCTTTTGGTCCCGATAAAAGTCCATTTTTGGAAATGATCCTATAAGTGAAAAAAAAATCGTTTTTTGGTCCTTTACCCGCTACAGCAGGTCAGAGCTACCGGCTAGTCCACGTGGAAATTCACCTGATTTTTTCTTCTTTTTTTTTCATGCTGAGTTGGAGGCTATGTTGGTAAAACTAGCTGATAAGCTAGCTTATACCTTATTTGTAATTTTTTAACTTATAGCTTATAGCTTAGGACTTATAGGTGAAAAGCTAGCTTATATGATAAAAATATTTGGTAAAATTAGCTGATAACCTAGCTGAAATAAAAATTTCAACTAGCTTATTTGAAAAGCTACCTAAAGTAGCTTGTGAGATAAGCTCGAGCTTTTTAAAAAAATTGGTCCTACCAAATGAGACTTATTTGATTACAGGGAACTTATAAGCTAACCAAATAAGCTATAAGGTAGCTTATTTGGCTTACCAAACACAGTCGTAAGCCTAATCAGCAGGTGGACGATTACGTGGCAAAATTGGAAAAAATTGCAAGGAGGCAGATTTGAACCTTGGGCCTCTGGCATTAAAAAGAGCTTATGAGCCACTTAATCTAACACATCTTATGTTAAATATTTTAGGCCTAATTGCTTATAAAATCACGACATTTAACCTTTTTGCAATTTAAACCAAACTTTAGGATAATTGCAAACATACCACGACTTTTTTAAAAAATTGCAGTCTGAACCCAATTTTGCTTGCCGACGAGTTTGATGCCTATGTGTCCGGGCAAAGGATTACACGCGTCAATTAAGAAAAATTAGGGCAATTATTCAAAAAGATCGAGAGCAAAAAAAAAATGATGATGTGGGAAACCGACAAAAAAATGGACTTGTCGCTGCCGACCGCAGTCGATCCATCAGGGAGGAAAGAACCCGAGAGAGAACAATCAGAGGTGAGAGACGGAAGAGGCCGATTTTGGCAAATTTACGCCGCCCTCCCCAAACACTGCGATAATAATGAGGTCTCAAAGCCTTCTGTGCGGAGGCCGGGTGGATGGTCGAGCCCGAGGCACGACTTATCGAAAGTGAATTCTACGAATTTGGGGATTTTTTGTTGAAGCAACTTTTAATTATTTTTAATTGGAGATTTGTTTGTTGTTGGCAAATGGGGATCTTTGAAGCACAATTAGGTTAATTTGATTGAATTTTTTTTCTTTTTATTTTGTACGGACATGTGTGTTTAGTGGAGGAATTTCTCTAATTTGGAATTTTTTATATCTGTTTTCAGATTTATTTTTTCTTCTTCTTCTTCTTTTGAATTTTGTATTCCACGTAAGAGCCTGACATCCTAATCAACAAAGCGAAATGATGCGTGTAATCTTTTGCCCGGACACGTAGGCATCAACCTCGCCGGCAAGCAAAATTGGGTTCGGGTTGCATTTTTTTAAAAAGTCGCGATATGTTTGCAATTACCCTAAAGTTTGGTTTAAATTGCAAAAAGGTTAAAGGTCGTAATTTTATAAGCAATTAGGCCAATATTTTACTTCAATTATATATCTAATAACATCGTTTTATCCAAATATATACATGTCATCCAATTTATACTACTTCTAATTATAAACATTATACATAATTACTTATTAAGGCAAAATTGCATTTTTGGTCCTGCTTCTTTGGCCTCGTGGCATTTTTAGTCCTGGGATCGGAAAAATTTTCTATTTAGTCCCGTAACTTCGAAAGTCAATGCAATTTTAGTCCTTCTGGCGACCAAAAGTCAACATTACGGTTGGATTTGTCACGTGGTCCGCACGTGACGCCTTCGTGGTCGATCTCCTCTGACATGGCAAGCCTGGACGCGGACGTGGCAACCAAATGAATTAAAAAAATAGAAAAAAAAATTCCACGAGGGCATTAAAATACATTTAAATAGGCAAGATTGGGAAAAACGAGACCGATTCTCACACACACTTAGCCCCAAATTCCCCTAATTTATCTTTCCCCCAAGAACCCTAAATTCCCAAACCCAAACCAAGAACCCTAATCCCCAGATTTACAAAATTCGCACATAAATGTCGTTGAAATCATATGAGAGGGATCATAGGTCTGCAATTGCGGTGAAAGGTCAGTCATTCGAACCTCTTGGACATCTAAAAATCTCGGTCGCTGATTTCGTTCTTACATTGAGTACATGGTAAGTGGATATTATTTTCCAATTATTTTCTCGTTCATTTTTTTGGGCAAAATTGTTCCTATTTTTCTTTGTATGTATGTAGGGAGAAGGAAACTAGGGTGTGATTTTTTCTCTTGGGTTGATCCTCCTATGTGTAGAAGGTCCATGGAAATTATTCATGTATTGTTGCGAAAATCAAATGTTTTGCGTGCTGAGAATGAAGAATTGCGAGAGGAAAACATTAGATTGGTTGAATGCAAGAAGAAGCTGGAGTTTAGAATTGTCAGATTGGCAAAAGGAGTTGGAGTCCGTGGAAATGATTCCTGGATTGTTGCAAAAATCTAATGAGTTGCGTGCTGAGATTGAAAAATTTCGAGACGAAATATTAGATTGGTTGAATGCAAGAATGGACCTCATTTTTTGTACGATTTTTCTCTCTCTTTGAGAGTCGTCCTTCTCTCGTCTGAGAGTGTTTCTTCTCTTTGTTAGAGTTCAGATCTCTTGTATTGAGAGTGGGGTTTAGGGATTTACAGTACAGGCTTTCTGAGAGCAGCTTTCTTTGGGTTTCTCTGGGTTTAGGTCAAATCTGACCTATTGGGGGTTGTTAGGTTCTTGTGAGGTAGGTTCTTATTACGGAGCGGTCAATCTATTGTAGCGTGATGGGTACGGAGAATGTGGAAGAAGAAATAGATGCACTCATGGAGAAGTTTAACTTATCGGAACGGGAAGATTTATTCATTGACATAGAAGATAGAGATGTGAGGTCCAGCGCGGAGGAATGTCGGAGAAGCTTATTTGGGAAAGTGATTGGAGATAAACGAGCTTACTGGATAGGTATTAGAAGAGCGATGGCACAAGCCTGGAGAGTGGGCAATGCATTGGAGGTATGTGAGCTGGATAGTAATTTTTTTCAGTTCATTTTCCAATCAATTAAAGAGAAAGAGAAAGTGGCCATAGATAGGAACTGGGTCTTTGATGGGCAATACTTAATCCTACAAGAATGGAAGGAGAGAAAACAGAGTAATGATGAATGCTTTCAAACCATAAGCTTATGGGTACAAGTTCATAACGTACCCTTGAATTGGTTGAGCACTCTGGTGGGTCTAAAGCTGAAAAGAATGTTCAAAGGTATCAAAAACGTCCACATTGCTAGAGTGGGAAATCAAGGAGGAAGGGTTCTTCGAATTCTTGCGACTGTTGACATATCAGAAGCGATACCTAGATGGGCAAAGATAAGATTAGGAGATAATGTGGTGGTGGTGCAATTTAAATATGAGAAATTGCTAAACTTATGTTACTATTGCGGCAAGATAGGACATTCTGACAAGAACTGCAAGAGGAGAATTGTGGATATTGACACAAATAATCTTGAGGAAGGGCAGTATGGGGAATGGGTTAAGGCTGCTGAGGGGGCCCACTGGGCTGAATCACCAAATCACAGCAATCAAACTGACACTCAAGAGCAACAGACAGAGCGAACTCCAAAAAAAGGGAACTCTTCAAAGGAGGTAATTGATGAAGTGGGTTCTTCAAGCAAGATGGACAGCCAACAGATAGGTGTTCTTCAGTCTAAAGAGATCCAAATGCAATGTAATAATATTGATGAGCTGGTAGGGCCATTCACAGTAGATGTTCCTCTTCAATTGCTTCATGAAATTCCAATGCCTACCTTACCAGCTCCTCAGAAGGCTATGATAGTAGTGGGGCCTCCAAGAGATGGACTGACTACAGCTACGGGTACTATTGGAGTAGTTGATGGCAATCCAAATCAAGAATTGAAAAAACCCAGAACCTGGAAGAGGACAGCAACTAAGACAGGCAGACTGAAGAGAAAGCAAAGCAAATCAGAGGAAACTAGTTCAATCAAGGAGAAGAAAAGAGTGTCATCAGAGAAAGGAATAATATTGTATCGTAATACCCAAATATAAGAAGAAGAAGGCAAAGGGAAGAAACCAAAAATTCAAGGTCAGATGGTGCAGGCAGCCAGCCAAAAATGGCTCCCACATCAAGAATGAAGGACATGGTGTGGAATTGTAGAGGGCTGGGTGGGCCCTCTACAGTTCCTCAATTGCGAGAGGCTTGCAAGCCTCACTATCCAACCTTTGTGTTCTTATCAGAGGTCAAGAATCAGGTACCTTTTGTTTCTAAAACTTGTCAGAAATTGGGTTTTGAAGGAAGATGGATGTATGAAGTACCTCAGGGTACAAAAGGAGGATTATTGCTTTGTTGGGATAAGGAAGTGAACATTCTAGCTGTGGGGAGTAATGGGTTTTGTATGCAAGTGCAGTTCTCCTTAGAGGATCAATCTGGTAGTGAATGGGCTATTTTTGTGTACCTCAGTACTCTCAAGCAGGAAAGGGGTCTCCAATGGGAATTTCTGCTTAATGAAAAGAATAAATGGGGGGATAAGTAGGTGATTATGGGTGATTGGAATGACCTGAGTAGTCCAGAAGAGAAGCGGGGAGGTCCAATAAGATCTATGCAAAGCTATCAGGATTTTAATAGTTTTATTGCTCAAATGGGAATGTATTTACTTCGAATGGAGGGACATAAATATACTTGGGTTAACAATAGAGCTGAGGAGGGTTTTGTGGAAGAGGTTTTGGATAAAGGTTATGCATCTCTGGATTGGGTCTTTAAGCACCCTCATGCTAAGATCACAAATTTGTTTAAGAGTGCTTCTGATCATCGGATGCTGCTACTAGAAGATGGTAGTGGGAGGGTTCAGTGTAGGAGAAGATTTGTGTTTGATAAAAGGTGGCTTCAAAAAGAAGGAATTCAGGAGCTGGTCAAGAATACCTGGGAAGCAGAAGAAGAGAAAACACCCATGTTCAGTCTGAAAGAAAATATTAGGAAGACAAGGGTTGCTCTTTTTCAATGGGCTAAAGCTTGCAAGAGTGGACACAAAGCAGATATTGATAAGATGAGACACTGAGGCTAGAGGAAATGAGGGAACTTGGAGGAGATAGAAACTGGGCAGAGTGGGAAAAGCTGCAGAAAGAGTTGGATAAAGCTCATTGCTCAGAGGAGAGTTTCTGGCAACAAAAATCAAGGATTTTATGGCTCAAAGAGGGAGACTCCAATACTAAGTTCTTTCATGCTATGACTGTACAAAGGAGAAAGCAAAATGCTATAACCAGACTGGTGGAGGGAGACAAATTTTTTCAAACTCAAAGTGAAATTGAAGGGCATGTGGTGAATTTTATGAGACACTCTTTACTTCTGAGGGATCTGGTCAGGAAGCAGAAGTCGGGCAACACATTGATCAAGTTATCACTCCTCAAATGAACAGTGGACTGACTGCCCCAGTGGGGGAACTGGAAATTCAGAAAGCTTTATTTCAAATGAATCCTTCAAAGGCACCGGGTGAGGATGGGATGACAGCTTTGTTCTTCCAACACTTCTGGCCAGTGATCAAAGATGACCTTTGCAATGCAGTGTCCAGCTTTTTCCATTCAGGCAGGTTATTGAGGTATTAGAATCATACTCTTGTTGCTTTAATCCCAAAATGTGTCCAACCAAGCTCAATTTCTCAGTTCAGACCCATAAGCTTGTGTGGGGTGGTGTACAAGATTATTACTAAGATTCTTGCTGAAAGGTTGAGGAATTGCTTGGATGTCTGTATTAGTCAAGCTCAGGCTGCTTTCATTCCAGGCAGACAAGTGATAATTGCTCAAGAATGTTTCCACTATCTAAATAGACATAAGTCTGGGGGTAACTGCTTTTTGGCTGTGAAGCTGGATATGCTCAAAGCTTATGATAGGGTGGAGTGGGGGTGTATTAGCAGTACAATGTTGAAAATGGGCTTTGATAATAAATTTGTGCAGTGGGTGACGTCATGTGTTTTTTCTCCTACTTTCTCCTTCTTAGTGAATGGTAAAACAACAGGGTATGTAAATTCCTCAAGAGGAATTAGACAAGGAGACCCAATATCTTCTTATCTTTTTCTTATTGTTTCTGAAGTTTTCTCATCACTCATCAAAGGGGCAGTTGAAGATGGCTGGTTTAAGGGTCTCAGAATTGCTAGAGAGGGCCCAACACTGACACATCTGTTATTTGCAGATGATCCAATAGTCTTCTGCAAGGCTAAAATTGGGCAAGTGAGGTGCTTATTGAATATTTTGTCTATCTACCAGAGATTCTCAGGACAGAAAGTAAACCTTACTAAGTCTTCAGTGTTTTTCAGTAGAAACACTCCATCTCAGTTACAAGATAGAATTTGCACTCTGATGACTGGTATTCAGGTTCACACCTCCACAAGATACTTAGGACTTCCCTTGGGTATAGGGAAGTCTAAGAATGAGACATTTGACTATGTGGTCCAAGCAGTGAGAGGCAGACTGTCCAACTGGAAGAGCAGACACCTTTCTACAGCAGACAAAGAAGTCCTAATTAAAGCTGTTATCAATGCTTTACCAGTATTCTCAATGTCATGCTTCAAGTTACCATTGGGTATTTGTGAAGAACTCAGTAGACTTACTGCCTGCTTCTGGTGGAGCAAAGGCAAAGGTCAAGAGAGAGGTTTGCACTGGAAGAAGTGGAGCAACATCACTATTCCTAAAGTTGATGGAGGATTGGGCTTCCAAGACTACAAACTCTTCAATGAAGCAATGCTGGTCAAGCAACTATGGAGGGTAACTACTATGCCTGAGTTGTTAATGAGTCAAGTCATCAAAAGCAGGTATTTTCCATGCTCTTCCATTTTTTATGTGAAAAAAAGCCAGTCAGGTTCTTGGATGTGGAATAGCTGGGTTGAGATGATCCCTTTCTTTGCTAGTGGATTAATTAGAGAAGTTCATGATGGTAAACAAACAAAAATTCTGGACCATAGCTGGGTGCCTAGCCTTAAACATAAGTGTCCTTCTCTTAATCCATCTGTTCATTTGCCTGGAGTTTGGGTTAGTGATCTGCTTGATGACACTGGTAAGAGGTGGAATGATAGAATCCTAAGTGAAGTTTTTCCTGATAGTGTCAGAACAGAAATCCTGAAGATATCTTCCTTAGATCCCACTAAACCAGATGTTTGGAAATGGTCTTATGATGTTAAAGGTCACTTCTCAGTGGCAAATTCCTACTCTCAATTAATGAAAATAAAAACTCTGCAAATTATTGAGGCTGAGAGTAGCAGAGATGCAGGAATGAGGCCAATAGTAAGAAGCAGAACCTGGCAGCTTAAGGTGAAAGGCAAGGTGAAACATTTTCTCTGGAAATGTTACAATGATGTGCTGCCAGTGGGACTGAACATTAAGAAGAGGGGCATGGAGATTGGCTGTATGTGCAGGATGTGTGGTGAAGATTTGGAATCTGTGGATCATTTACTCATTCATTGTAGCAGAGCTAAGAGGGTATGGAAAATGACTCCACTGGCTTGGGCAAATGAGGAGGAAGGTCAGATATCCTTTAGACTGTGGTGGAACAATGTGTGCTCTGTGGACAAATCTGAAGTAGCAGAAGAAAGAATTCAACTTTCTACTTACATTTTGTGGTGGCTGTGGCGATCCCGGAACTTATGGCTGTTTGAGAAGACCTGGATGCCTGAGGACATAATTGCTAAAGGGGCTTGGGGAGAATGGCAAGAGTGGGCTAATGTTGGTCACTAGTTTGAGTAGTCTGTTTGATGCTTTTGTTTTAGTTTTTAGTTGTGGTGTGTAGAGCTTGTTCCTTTTTGTTCTTTGTTTGTAGTTTAGTTTTACTGTTTGTGCTAGGGCTTTATTTGTATTGTTTAGCTGTTTAGAGTGTGGTTTTCGGGTAAGGTCTCGGTGGTTGCATCCCCGCCTTAGTCGTTGGTTTTTATTGTCTCTAGACCACTTTCATAGTGTGTCTCCCATGGTTGTATGTCAGTTTGAACTCTTCAGATTTGTTCTGTTTTATGTTATAGATTCTATCGTTTGGAAAAAAAATAAAAAAGAATGCAAGAATAAGCTGGAGTTAGAGTCTCGGATTGGCAAATGGAGTTGAAGTCCGCTAAAAAGGCCAAATTTTGGTTGCTCATGGGGATTGTGACTCTGTTTCTGTACAGGTTCTTAAAGAACAATTTATCTGACCGAGTCTATGAAGAAGAAAATGGTAGTGTTGGACTAGCTTTGTTATATTTGAACTTCTTGTTTGTTACTTGCTAATGAGGGTTGTGAATGTTTTTGAACAATTGTTGAATTATTTTGTTTGAATTCACTTTTGTTGTAATGAAAGTATGTTATGTGTTATTGTATGGACTAGCTTTTATTGAATGCTAATGGTAGTGTTGGACTAGCACAAATTGAATGTTAATGGTTGTTGCTTTGTTGTTGAATGTTGGCATGGTGTTTATGGCTGGCAGTTACTATTGAATGTTAAGGGTGTTTGAACAAATTGAATGTTAATGGTACATGAAAGTTCATACAAAAAGCATTGATAATTTCATAACCTAAAAACCATCCCTTAAACTGCATTAACTTGAATGAACACATTAATTTCATAACTTCAATTACAAAATACAAAACATTCATAAACCCGTTTCACTGCCATAATCTAAAATCCAAATTTCACCATTACACATCCAAAGGCAAAAACCATCCAAAAACCATCATCCAAAACTATACAAAACCATCCAAAAACACCACAGTTTGAATTACCATTCAAAAGCATCCTAAACCATCAAAAACCATCAAAACACCCCACAGTTTCAACAGTTTCAATGACCATCAACAATTTCCAACAAATACAAACACTTTTAGTTTTCATCTCTTGATTGCATTGAACTCTGCAGCTGTTGATAAAGGGTAGGCCCGGGCTGATTGGCAACTTTAGGGGTTTCATACTCATCAATGAGTTCACACAATGACTGCAGCTCCTCATCTTCTTCTTCATGGCTTATCACTGGTGGCAAAAGTGTAGGATTTTGAAAAAATGATTGAATTAAAGTTAAAGAAATATGGTTAAAAATAATTGGTTTCAGAAGTGAATTTGTTATACACAAATGGATAATTAAATGAGCGTAATGAACACTTACTTGTGAGGATTGTTTTGTCCCAACTGTGGCCTTCTTTGCCCTTTTCCTTTTACCTATGTCAGCAGCAGCTCTTGCTCTTTTCCTTTCAAGCTGTAGAATAAACATAGAATAAAGTGAAGTCACATAAACATAGAATAAAAACTAAAAAAACATAACTTATAACATTTAATAGAACTACAATTGTATCAAAAGCCCTTTTCAATGGAGAGTTGTCCACTTCTTGAGTTACTTGACTTTGGTTTTGGCTTAGAGTGTTCATGTCTTTCTCCTTTCTTTTCTCACAAGACCTTGCATTGTGGCCAGCCATGCCACACTTTTTGCACCTCACAGTTGGTTGTTGTCTCTTCATATTCATTGGTTGTTTTCCACTTCTCTTTTTCCCTTTGTTTTTAGGCTCTTCTTGATCTCTTCTTCTTGCCTTTGAAGGCCGTCCAGCACCCCTCCCAAAGTTGGGAGGTAAAAGAGGAACAAATAGGGCATGTCTCCACAATGAAGGAACATTTGTGCCTAGTATTGAACCCCTATACACATTCTTACAACACTCTTGTGAATAACATCCATCTACAAAGTCAACAGGAACCAGCTTCTGAGCTATTATGGCACTACATGCATGCTTACAAGGAATGCCCCCCAAATCCCATACCCTACAGCTCCAAATTTTCTTCTCTAAATCAACAGTAATGTCATAACAATTAATCTAATAGTGCCTGATACAGCCATACTTGTGAACCGGAGCCAAGTACGAAGAGGTCCAAGTGAAGCCGAAGAAGAGCGACCTGAGGAGGTGTAGAAGAGACTTGAAGGTCTCTGTGACTAAGTATGAGAAGCTCCACACGACTAAGTGTGGGAAGTAGACATGCTCTCTGTGACTGAGTATGAGTAGCTCCACACGACTAAGTATGGGAAGTAGACAAGCTCTCTGTGACTGAGTATGAGAAGCTCCACACAGCTAAGTATGGGAAGTAGACATGCTCTCTGTGACTGAGTATGAGAAGCTCCACACGACTAAGTATCGAAAGTAGACATTCTCTCTGTGACTGAGTATGAGTAGCTCCACACGACTAAGTATGGGAAGTAGACATTCTCTCTGTGACTGAGTATGAGAAGCTCCACATGACTAAGTATGGGAAGTAGACATTCTCTCTATGACTGAGTATGAGAAGCTCTACACGACTAAATATGGGAAGTAGACATGCTCTCTGGGACTGAGTATGACAAGCTCCACACGACTAAGTATGGGAAGTAGACATTCTCTCTGTGACTGAGTATGAGAAGCTCCACACGACTAAGTATGGGAAGTAGACATGCTCTCTGTGACTGAGTATGAGAAGCTCCACACGACTAAGTATGAGAAGTAGACATGCTCTCTTTGATTGAATATGAGAAGGTCAAGCTACTCTAAGAAGATAAGTAGAGGTCATCTCGACGTGCTAGACCTGCTAGAGGTCATCTCGTCTTGCTAGACTTGCGAGAGGTCATCTCGACCTGCTAGACTTGCCAGAGGTCATCTCGACATGCTAGACTCGTCTCGACCTGCTAGACTTGCGAGAGGTCATCTCGACCTCCTAGACTTGCGACAGGTCATCTCGACCTGCTAGACTTGCTAGAGGTCATCTCGACTTGCTAGACTCGTCTCAACTTGCTAGACTTGCGAGAGGTCATCTCGACCTGCTAGACCTGCTAAAGGTTATCCCAACTTACTAGATGTCTTCTCTACTAGACGTCTCTGTGACTAGAGGTCTCCGCTACTAGACCTCTCCGCTACTAGACATCTTCTCTACTAGACCTCTTCTCTACTAGACGCCTTCTCTACTAGAGGTCTCCGCTACTAGAGGTCCCTGTGAATAGAGCTCTCCGCTACTAGACGTCTTCTCTACTAGACGTCTTCGTGACTAGAGGTCTCCGCTACTAGATGTCTTCTCTACTAGAGGTCTCCGCTACTAGACGTCTTCTCTACTAAACGTCTCTGTGACTAGAAGGTAGATGGAATGCGAACCGTCCAGGGTATTTTGGACACTTCAGGTAAACCGACCGGGGCATTTTGGGTACTTCAAGCATGTAGTTCCCTCTATATAAAGAGGATGAGGTAACCCTAAACCCTAACCTCTACTCATTCTATACACTTTCCATCTCTCTGTTGCTGCTGCTACTCTCTGAGAGCAGCTCTCTCCCCCCAATTCTATGTATTTCTACATGCATCACAGCTCTACATCACAGAGCTTCATCTTCCTCTCCTCTGTTTACTGACTTGAGCGTCGGAGGCCCGACGCCGGGACCTCTCCCGGCGTTGGGTTCTTGTAGGTGTTTGCGGCGGTCTAGCAACGATTTGAAGGCGGTTCAAACAGATCGGAGCTCACAACAACCGGTTTACTCCAGATCTGGAAGTAGACCCATCAGTGCCTATCATCACATTTAATTGGCATGCAGTCAGATACATGTGACAAGTGTTTCTCTGAAGCATCAAGTTTATGTTAGGGCAAATTTTGTTCTTCCACTTCAACTCTGCCTTATTTTTTTTTTCTTTTTCTGCATCTTAATGCACATGTACTCTCTAATCCACTCAAACATAGTGATAATGGGATTTTTCCTTGCTTCAAGAATGTTGGAGTTAAATGTTTCACACACATTATTGAGTTCAGAAAAAAAAAGCTCTTGACCAATGCTGTGGTGGTTTATCAGGAAACCAATCAAAAGCATCATGACTCATCTTTTTAATTTCAAGCATTCTTGTATTAAACTCACCAACAGTGGTTGCTTGTGCTGCTCTCCACACAGCATACTTATAGGCCAAACCCCTAAACCCAGCCTTCAAAAAATTGTTGTGAAGGTGCCTCACACAGAACCTGTGAGTAGCCCCAGGGAAGACAACATCAAAGGCTTTGATAAGCCCCTTCTGCTTATCAGAAATGAAGGTATACTGCTCAGGCCTAGAAATGCTTAAATCTTTCATCAGAATTATGAGAAACCACTCCCATGTTTCAAAACACTTAGTCCCTACTACAGCAAAGGCAATGGGAAACAATGTGTTGTTTAGGTCTACACCTACTGCAGTCAAGAGTATCCCTCTATGTGGACCCTTTAAATGACAGTCATCTACACCCACAATTGGCCTACACCCATTTTTGAACCCCTCTCTAAGACCATTAAAACAAACATAAAATTTTCTGAATCTCTTCTCACCATCAACCTTCTCAGTGGCAAGAACAACAGTTGACCCAAGATTTGAAGTTCTCAACTCTTCTGCATAATCCCACAATTGGGAATACTGATCATCAGGATCTCCTTCAAGTTGTGCCAGGGCTCTTCTCTTAGCCCTATAGGCCTGATCTTTTGATATATTAATAATATCAAGTCTCCAGCCTTTAACACTTCTTTTAGGATCATTTTGAAAATGGCTTAAGAATTTTTCACTTAGCCACTTTGATTTGATGTTTTTAACCTCAAAAGTTTCAGAGCAAGAGTGAATGGGGTTGTATTCCCTAATTTGGAAACAGGCTTGATCCTTCATTTTTAATAGGTTTATCTTTCAATTACACTCTTCATCTGCACATCTCACATGCACCCTTATCCTATCATTTTTCGTTGTCTTAAGGTTTCTGTTGGTTTTAATTGAATGTGATTGGATGGCTTTTCTAAATTCTTCTTTAGTTGCAAACACCATCCCAATATCAAACACAGGATCCCACACTTGGTTAGAATTAAACATAGGAGGATCCACATCTTCATCATCACTACCCCTCAGTTTATCTAAATCATCAGGAACCTCAACCACATCATCATCACTATCAGTACTAGAATCACCANCCTTATTAGCCCCTGCATCCACATTCTCACTAAACAATGCATCATCATCATCACTGCTACTATTTCTGAAATCATAATCACTATTAAGAAAGAAAATCATCCTCATCTTCTTGCCTCTCTAGTTCGCTCTGTTCATTTTCATTTTCTTCAACATCTAAATTCTCACCAACAAAATTCCCACTCTCATGTTCAATATTTTCATTCTCACAATCATCACCCTTCCCACTCTCAGAACCATTGCCCTTCCCACTCTCATGTTCAATATTTTCATTCTCACAATCATCACCCTTCCCACTCTCAGAACCATTGCCCTTCTCACTCGCATTTTCATTTTTTTCACTCTCATTTTCACTTTCAGCACCACTAACCTTCCCAATCTCATTTTCATTTTTTTAATCCCATTTTCACTCTCAGAACCACTCCCACTCTCAGAATCAGAGTCAAAATTAATCCATCCCCCATCCATGGACAAACTAGAAGGACTGAATGTACCTTCATTTTCAACATACAAAGTCATTTCTCTACAACCATATTTATGATATAAAGTCCTTATTTTAATGTCTTCATCATCAAGCAGTGGCTTGAAAGCCAAACCAAGCAATAAGAAGTACTTCCTACTACCAACAACACCAAATTTGTCAGACATTTTCTTCAATGTGGAATTATTCAAAGACCTCATATGGACAAAATAAAATGTCATTTTAGACCCTCCTGGATAACACACAAAACCTTCTGTTTGAAATGTTCCAGCCCACCACATAGTTACTGTAAACAACTCACCACTACGATCTATGGAGAATAGACCCAAAAAAACAAACAAACAAAGAAACAAGAAAAAGAAAAAACTCAGAGACTTTGTCAGTATAAAAAAAAAAGGAAAAAAAATACAGAAATACAAAAAACAAAACAAACAAACAGGGGTATCAATGAAAAAGGCAAAATTGCATTAAACTCACTGTATTCAGGGATGTCTGCATCCCAATATTCCTTTGACTTAATCCGTATGGACTTCACCATCTTCGCGTTCGCTCAATCAACCTTCTCACTCAATCGGCCTTTATCTCATCGTCGTCTCTCTGAAATCGAATTTCTCTCTAGATTCTTCTCTCAAGAACGACCTCTCTTCGAATTTCTCTCTTCTCTCTGCTATTTGTGTTCTGGAAAAACCCGATTGAATGAAAATTAGGGTTTTGATCGTCTGAAATAACGTTTCATCTGCCAAAGTTTTTTTCCCTCCATTAATAATTGATTACGTGTTTCTTTTTTGTTTTTTTTTAATTTATTTTTAATGCCCGCGTGGATTTTTTGTTTTTTGTTTTTTTAATTCATTTGGTTGTCACGTCCGCGTCCAGGCTTGCCATGTCAGAGGAGATCGGCCACGAGGGCATCACGTTCGGGCCACATGACAAATCCAACCGCAATGTTGACTTTTGGTCGCCGGAAGGACTACAATTGTGTTGACTTTCGAAGTTACGGGACTAAATAGGAAATTACTCCAACCCCAGGACTAAAAATGCCACGAGGCCAAAGCAGCAGGACCAAAAATGCAATTTTGCCATTTATTAAATATATTAATTACAAAATAAAAATGAGTAAACTAAAAAAATAAATTAATTAATAACATTATATTATTTTATTACCTTTTTTAATTAAACTTTTATTATAATTAATATTTTTTTACTAATTTACCTTATTAAATTTTAGTTCATTTTTTATATATATTAAATAAATATATATATATTAAACTAATATTTATTGAATAAAATAATATACTAAATAATATAAATATATATATATTCAACAATATTTAATATACATTACATAAAAAGTATATTAAATTATTAAGCAAATATATATATATATATATATTAATTAAATAAATATATATTAGATGAATATATTAAAGGATCTTGATATTAAACAGTTAGAAATAAAAAAAATACAAATTAAATAAATTTATTTAATGAAATATATACTAAGTACATATTTAATATAGTTATTAAATTTTTATACTAAATAAATAAATGTGTTAAATGATATAATAAATAAATAAATATTTTCTACATAATACATATTAAATAATATAATAAATAAATATGGAAAATAAATAAGTATATAAAATATATTTAAATTTAAATAAAGGTAAATTAAACATAACAACATAAATGATAATAAAATTTAAATTAAAAAAATAATTTTTAGTATTTATTTATTTTAATTTCATTATCTAAATAAATTATTAAATATGTATTAATGAAAAAATACAAACATGTAAACTAAATAAATAAATGAATAGTATTATTTTATTTTACTTTTAATTTATATGTTTTATTTTATTATAATTTATTGTATTGTAATAAATGAAATATATATTAATTAAACACTAAAATTAAATAAATTAATAAATAAATAATATTTTATATTATTTTATTATTTAATTATATGCTTTATTTATAGTTTATTGTATTATTTATTCTTTACTATATTTAGTACTTATTTGATTATTTATTATTGAAATAAATAAATAAAATTGAATTATTTAATATATTCTTGTATAGAATATATATTTATGTAATAAATGGGGGTTCGAACCTTTGACCTACTAGTTGCTATGGTATTGACATATAATAGAATAACCAATATAAATTAAATTGAAATTAATTAAGATAAAAATAATTTAATAATACAAATATAGTAAGTAATAAATAATACAATAACTAGAATAATTAAAACATATAAATTGAAAAATAAAATAAAATATTCTTCAATTATTAATTTTAATTATTTTTAGTTCGTAATTAATATAATTTAAATATATGAAAATAATTACAATAATAAGAAGTAAGATAAATAAAATTAAAATAAATAAAAATATAAAATTAAGTTAAATTAATTTTAAAAACAACAATTAAGATGGACAAATAAAAAATGAGATGAAATAAATTAAGTTATAATTTGCAGTTCACCCTTCACAAAAAAGAAAAGGAAAAATATAAATGAAATTACAACTCAGCCTTCTTGAACTCTTAGGTGGCATTATTATCAGAATATCTTGAAAAAAAATACTTTTTATAACTTATTAATGATAAATATTGTTCTTTTCAACCTTATTGATATGCAGTTGTGTAGCCTAGTAGTGAAATTTTCAGATAGTTCCTTTTGGCTTGGATTAAAAGTTAAAACCCCACTCTTTGTTAACATTTTAATTTTTGTAATAAAACTGATAAGTGTAAAATGATGCAAATAAGACAGCAAATAATGCCTTTAGCTTAGTGGATAGAGCATCTATTTTGTAAGTAGAAAGGCCGTGGTTTCTAGACCCCTACTTGGTCCAAAAATATTATTTTTTATTATGCCACCTAAGCGTCCGTCATTTTTAGCCAAAAAAAGGAAAGAAAATAAAAATCAAATGAAATTCAAGCTAGTATAATTTATTAATTTATTTAATTCCATCAACTAATCATTAATGGAGGCTGTGAAAATTTAATAATTTATTTAATTTCATTCAACACTAGTATAATCCTTTATATATAATTTCAGAATAGGTTAGAGCTTACATGACAAACTCTCACGCTTCGGAATCCTATTTGACAAAAAAAATCATGCTTTGTAGTTAGGCTTTGATATAAACTAATATTTTTTATCACACTAAATCAATGATTGATTTTTTTTCTTCTGTACTTCTACAATTAGTTACCATAAATTATTGACAAAATTGCATATAATACCACAACCTTTATCATGATTGCACATTAATCACAACCTTTCAACTTTTGCACAGAATATCACGGCCTTCAATTTTTTGCAAAGCGATACACGCCTCTCATCAGCTGTTAAAAAAAAACTGTCGTGTCACCAAAAACGACACCTCATCTGCTGAGTTGTATTTATCATTTGTGGCAAAATTGCGCCTGATATCACGACCTTTATCATGATTGCAAATTAAATCACAACCTTTTAACTTTTGCACAGAATATCACGCTCTTCAATTTTTTGCAAAACGGTACACGCTTCTCACCAGCTGCCCCAAAAAAGATGACGTGGCACCCAAAACCTAGTTATACATGTTTTTCCTAAACCTGGTTTTCTAATCATCAAGTCACCACTGCATATATAACAACGTAATTAGAAAACTAGGTTAATGCAAAACAAGTATAAGTACATATAAACATAATTAAACCAATATATAATCCTAATTATGTGCTACTTAACAAAACTCTAAACCCTAATGTTATGATTGGTATAATGGAATGAAATTTGATAGGAATGGAATGGGTTGAAGTATGGAATGAATATGAGAAATGAATGAAACAAGTTTTTCCATTGATGTGTATGGAATGCAGAAGAAATAAGATATATTTGTGTTTGATGATGGATAGAGAATGATGTTTTGAAGATTTAACGGACTTATTCCTTCTGCATACCAAGCACATCAATGGAAAAACTGAACATCTGTCCACGCACCTTCGCTCGCCTGGCTCTAGTGATCCGTCCCTGCAAGTTACGATAAAAAATTGAAAGAATTAAACAACATAATGTACTTTAATTACATGAATTGTAATTAAAAATGAACAGAAAGTAGAAAATTCTAAATGAAACATTAACCTTAAATTACCTGGCTCTAACATCTCTAGTGTTCTACAGAATGGGTGGATCGTTTTGATATCAATCGACAGTTCAAAATCATATGCTGTACGAAGCAGACAGACACAAGGTATTCCATGAGTGACTGGCAATACACAGCCGTAGCGTTCGTAAACTTTATAGCTCAAGTTTCACATTCTCGTAAGCTGAGAGTTCAATAAATTCAGGCAGTAATGTGAGACCCTCAGTGTCAAGTTTTGTGAACATGAAGCCCGTATACTGCGCACTCGTCCTAAGTCTCGAAGACTCAAGCGTTGACCTTGTAATACATTATATAACATTAGATTATAATTAATGTTGTAATAACACAGTTAAAAATGAGGAATGTACTTGATTTCAGTCATTTGAGACTCGATCTCCTTATTAATCTTCTGCCACAATGTATCGAGTGAGCCAGTCAACGTGTTAAGCCACTGCTTCAACACAGAGTGGACTCTCTCCACCTTACGGAAAGTTATGTTACCAAAATGTGTTACCTGGTTAGTCCAAGCTTTCACAAACTTCTCCTTGTGGACTAACCATGTCTGCTCCACATATTGTATCACGTGTTTAGCCTTCCCGTATTTTTCATGCATCTCAGCTACGGTAGTGTTGTATTCATCAACGTACTGGCATCGACAATCGCCTTCCACCTACTGTGCGTGAACATCTGAGAGAAATTTTTACTTTTTCCAAACAGTTTGTAGACTCCACGTGCAGAGCAAGTGGGCAGTTTCAGGAAAGTTCCTCTTCATAGGAGTCATTAAACCCAACTCTCTGTCAGTGACAACCGCAATATGATGTACCTCATAGCCTATCAGAAGTCTCAATTTATGTAGAACCCAGTCATAACTGGCCTCTTTCTCTTCCTTGATGAGTGCATACGCAATTAGGAAGTTGTTGCACGGCGTCATCCCAATCATCTCGACCAACGGTATTTTATACTTGTGCAAATGAGACCAACAAGAAAAAAAATATAATCACATAAAACTTAATCAAACATACTAATTAATATTAATACTAATAATGTATTTATAAAGTAACATACATGTTGGTTTTGTACAGGGAATCTATGTCGAGATACCAGTAATATGTGCGGAATAGAATGTCTGATGCAGGATGGGCCATAAATATATGTAGCCAAATGTAGAAGCTGGGTAGTAATGTCTCTACTCCCAAAACTTTATCTTCGCAACTTATCTCTATAGTTATATACGTGTCGCCGATTAGCGTTGTCTCCCGGATTTTGTTCCTGGACCGCGCCAAATTTGTGTCGGTTTCGCCTGAACAGCACCCATATCATGAATAATCCTTTTTTATGAATGGCTGAGGCCGCTCACCTGTTGATGACACTCAGGATACACAGCAAATGAATTATTATGGAAGCCCTTCTT